TACCTTCAGGCTGACATTTATAATAGAGTGGAGTGCCCTTTTGACTTTTATCAGCAGTTCTAAAGGAGTTCTTAAAGAGCCCTGTTGTGGCCCTGTGAGTTAATGCGCTGGACTGCAAAGTCAGTTTGATCTGCAAGGTTGGCGGCTTAAGCTCACCAGTTGTTCCTCAAGATCCCTGTACAGGGTTACTATGGATCAGAACCAGCTCAACAGCACTTCACAACAACAACCACAGAGTTTTGTTACACTGACTGAGTGGTGCAAAGGCCAAGCCAAGGGGCCTAGGTCAGAGAGGCCTGCTTGCGGGCACAGCTGAGAGGTGTCCTTACCAAAGACCTATATATATATATATATATATCATGAGCATTTGTTGATCCTGCATTGTATCCTGTTAACTTCCCTAATAAACCCCATAACTTTAAGTATGGTGTCTGAGTTCTGTGTGGCTATTACAATGAGTTATTAAACCCGGCTTAGTAGAATATTGTTGGAGGGATGGTTGGTGCCATTGTTTTGCAATAGTCATAAAGGCAAAATTGTTTTTCATAGAAGAGAAACAAATACAAAGAATCACTGTACTAAAAAGAATTGGTCAACGTTCAACCATTTCAAAAGGTAGCGTATCATCAAGAACTGATGGTATTGAAGGAAGAAGTCCAATCTGCACTAAAGGGGGATTGGTGAAAAACAAGGTTCCAGGAACCAACAAAGTACAAATTGAAAGTTTTTTAACAAACTGATGCAGCACTGGAGAGGCTTACGAGTCTATACCACAGAATTGGGCAGCTACCTGGTCAATCTACTGGAAGAGATCCATATTTGTACCCATTTCAAATAAAAATGACCCAACAGAATGTGGAAATCATTGAACAATATCATTAATATTTGTTGTTGTTGTTGTCAGGTGCCCTCAAGTCAGTTCCTACTCATAGCGACCCTGTATAGGGTTCTCAAGGAGTGACTGGTAATCTTGAACTGCCAACCTTGCAATTCAAACCAACCTTTCAGTCCAACGAATTAACCCACAATTCCACACCAGGACTCCTCACTAATATTACATGCAAGTAAAATTTTGCTAAAGATAATTTTAAAACACTTGCAGCAGTATGTCAACAGGAACCTGCCAGAAATTAAAACCTGATTCAGCAAAGGACATGGAATGAGGGATATCGTTGCTGAGATCAGATAGATCTTGGCCGAAAACAGAATATACCAAAAATATGTTTACTTGTGCTTTATTGACTATGCAAAGGCATTTGACTATATGGATCATACCAAACTCTGAATGACATTACAAATAAAGGGATATATTCAGAACTCTTAGTTTGCTCATGCAGAACTTGTACATAGAACAGTAAGCAGTAGTTTAAACAGAATAAGAGAATACTGTGTGGTTTAAAACCAAGAGACG